AATTAGTGTTTTTCTTATGTTAGCAATTAACTGAATGCATGTTTATACATGTAATTCTAGAGAACAAATGAAAATATAGATAATGAAACCTCACATTCTTTTGGTCATAAAATCTGGTGTATGTTTTAGGGGATTACTCAAACTAGGTGGTTGCATGATGCTAAGCATTTCTTTGTTAAGACTCTCGTAGAATGAAAAACTAGCATTCTTTTTGACATCTCTTTTCTCTCCATCGTTCTTAAAATTGGCATCTTCAATTCGTTTTTGTACTTATAGGTTCTGGGATGAAGCTACTAGTGCCCTTGATAGCACAACAGAAGCAGAGATCTTGAATGCACTGAAATCTCTTTCAAATAATCGAACATCAATATTTATTGCTCATAGGCTTACAATTGCAATGCAGTGTGATGAGGTACACATTCTGGGTAGCAAATATCAATCTCCTGTTGGATTCATGGTTATGGATTTTCTCCTGATCCTTTTGTCTTGTTTTTATGGCTATATGTTAGTTTGTCACCTGATACCTAATCAATTGCTCTATATTGTGTACCTGTCCCCTTTCCACGTTATAAATTCACATTATTTCTTCTCCTACCCTCAGCATGTATCCCCCACCTCTCTTTAACATTGAAAAAGGAAAATACAAAAGAAGAATAAGTAAACGTATTAAATAATGCTCCAGCATTTATTCTTCCTATAAAGTTGTATTCAACTATTTCGGTGCTGTATCTTTGGCTCTTAATCCTTGATATGTTGCGATATCAAAAACAAGAATATATCAAACGATAATGTAGGCTGTATTTTATACACATTTTCATGACATTTCCTACACGGGGCTACAGAAATTTCATGTACTTCTTGCACATTTTCTTTATTTTTTCCGAAAATGTGGGGGCTGTTTTTTCCATTTGCTAAGGTAGATTGCAGCATTTTAACAATTGAAGAAATGTGCCTTGTCGTGCCATTTCCTATCTGTTGAGAAATCCACGTCTTATATGTTGCCAAATCTAGTTTCAATGTGTTTCCTGCATGTGGCAGTTGTCGATTTTATTGTTGCATTATGCATATTTTGTTATGAATACAGATTATAGTTATTGAGAATGGTAAAGTAGTAGAACAAGGACCACACGAGGTTCTCTTATCGAAGGCTGGAAGATATGCACAACTTTGGGCACAGCAGAATACAACTGTTGATTCCATCGACGCCTCCATCAAACTAGAGGCATAAATACCCTCACTCGGGTTAGTACTAGGGGAAGACGAGCAAAACATTGAGGTATCTCGCCATTGAATTTCTTGTTTGTCATGTACATCAGATCGATTGCACTGTAATTTATACGAGTGTATATTCAACCAATTTTTGTAGGTCCCTTCCTCTTAGCAAAAAGCCTCTACAGCAATTGAAAATGCAACGTTTGAAATTTAAAATATTGCATAAAGACATTTGTTTAAGATTTTTTTAAGTTTCTGTTTACTTTTATCCGAGATCACAATTGAGTCGTCTGATGACATGGGAGGAGTTACATGCAGCATAACAAACGCTATAACATTCCTTCAACATTTCTTCTATTTATTATAAGAAAAGTGCTCACAGGGCCCCTCACTGTAGCGCGGGCCCCACCTGCATTTTAAAAAAGAATAAAAAACTGCATGGGCCCCACTTGTGTCTTACCTGGCAGCTCCCTGTGGTGAAATAAAATTTCTCCTGTACTTCAAGCATTGCTAATGTCTATCCATAATTTGCAAAGATTTCAAATGTTGATGTCGTTGGCTATTTTCTTTTCTTTTCTTTTTTTTTTTTTGAAAAAAGAGAAAAATGTCTGATTTGCATTTTTGTAGGGATAGATTTAAAAGTAAGAAACTATTTTCACGTACCACCTATTAGTTCTCATACAAATCTTCTAGTTTAGGGAACCTATCAAATCGGTTCCGATACTAGCCCGTGTTTGAGCCTCATTTTGGGGGAAAATTGTATTCTTGAATAGTAATTTTTGGAGAATATGTGATTAAAAAATAAGAAAAATTCGTTTTATGTGAAATTATTTTAGTGTCCGTTTGATAGACAAATGTAGAAAAGAATTTCAATTCCATGTTAGCTGGAAAATAAAAACCTACAAATCCATAAGAATTTGTTTTCCATGAAAATAAAGAAAATACAATTTAAAGTGGTTGTACCTTGAAATTCGGTTTCCATTTCCACGTTATAATTAAACGGTCAAGTTGGAATTCGTTTTTCTCGAATGTGGTATTTTCCATGGAATTCATTCCAATCAAACATGATCTTATTAGAAAATGTGTGGTTAAAAATGAGTTTTAAAAAAATAATTTTTTGATAAAATAGGGCTCAAACAAGGTCTTAATATTCTAAAAAAATGTCTCAATTTTGCAAAATGCTTCTCAATTTTCAAAATGTAAAATGTGACGTTAATTATAGGAGTTATCAATTTTTTTAATAAATTGTATTCATTTCATTATTCTTCAATATCTAATATTTTGCACGAACAGTTTTATAATAAAATAAAATAATTGTCTACAACATGTTATAACATAAGCCTTAAAAGAAAATCGACCATAATTATACTAATTCGCACAAAAAATTATAACATCTTTACATTAAAAAAATATTAACTGATAAATATAATTAGAAATAGAATAGAAGAGAAATTTGAGGAATTAAAATAGTATATTTGGAATAAAGATAAATTGTTATAGTGGTCAAAAATTGGGGAATTCAATTTTCCCTCGCAATTAGTATACATTCGAGAGAATTAGCTCGTACAAAATATAATTGAATTTGAAACCTTCAGCTAGCAAAGTGTCGACTTGCACTTTACCATCAATTCCATTGGTGATGTTCATGTTCTCGAACTATTCACGTTTTAAAGCTAGCTAACAATGTATGCGTTTGACCTATATATTTAGCAAAACTTTGAAGACATTCGATGAAGACTTCAGAAGCATATATGAGAACTTATTGAAATATTCAAGAATAAAAAAGAGAGATCAAAAGGATTTTGTTAACAATATGTCCCATTTGAAAAGATAAAAGAAACTTGTAAAAGTTTAATAGAAATTTGTGAAAACATATATAGAAAAAAATGTGAATCATAAAATTGGATCAACCTCCATCATCCATTTAAAGGAAGTGACACTATAAAAGGTCAAAGATGCCTCATTCGGAACTAACCAAATTAGAAATAGGGCGAGACATAATTATTGAAAATAAGAATTTTAAAAATGTATTATAATATTTTTTTTTAGACTTCATAGTTAAAGATATATTATTCCGAACTAAACAACATTTTTTTGCTTCTCTTATGGTGCAGAGTAAAGAACGTTTGATTTTTCAATAATGCACCAAACGAGTCCATGCTCAATCTTGTAGTTCAGAAGTTGGGCACATTTACCAAGAAGTTGATAAATATTATCACGAAATGAACCTTAGGTAAAATAGGATTCTCGTTTGTGGCAGTGTTCTGAAATCATAGATCAAAAATTAGGGAACTATATTTTCCCTCATAATTAAACATGATCGGAACTTATGTTAGTAATAATCAACTTGTAAAAGTAATATTAGCATAAAACACTACTATGTGAAAAAACGCATTTCAATACCATGAATTTCATATTAAAACCGCAAATTTTATAATCGTATAGCCAATACAACAAGCTAACATCATGAGTCCAAAAAAATTATACATAAAAAAAATTTGTCCACATATGTCTATGCGAGGATGGCAAAACATGCATCGCGTATAATTTTTTTTTTTGCTATTCGTTGTCATTATCAATACCAAGGCAACTTGTGTGGTGTCAATCTCTGCCCTTGTCATTGGACACCATTCTTTCCCCTCATCACCTTGCTTTCAAAGGCTTCACTCCCTCTTCGTACCTTAGTTTTGTATCCCAATTTAACCGGTTGCCTCTAACCCTAAGGTCCTTTGACATGAGTGTCGTAGGAAGAACTTCCTTATCATCAATTGAGTCTTTCTCAAGAATATCGATAACTATCATCTGTTCCATGATACCATATATGTCACTTATTGCATTTTAGACAGGCTGACCATATCAAAAGGTGAAACCATGTTAATCTCTCGAGGTGAAAAGTGTTTATTAGGTTCAACAGCAAGGTAGCATAAATCCGACCTTGCATGACATAGGAACCTTCAAAATTCAAAATAGGGAAAATTGTAGCATCAGTCTCCAACCTTTTGATTTTTAGTAGATTTTACTTGAACTTTCAATTTGTGCCAACGTAGGTCCTAAACATTTGAAAAATTAGCAACTAGAGTCCAAAGTGATGGATTTTACTTTTAGTTGACCATAAAAAATAGACTTTGACAAATTTTGACTAAATTAAAAGGGGTAAAATTGTAACTTTGAATATTTACAAATATTAACAATTAAAATAAAACTAAAAAAAGAAAGAAATTGACCCACCCCACCCCACCCCACCCCACCCATCTTTATCTTCTCTGACCAGCAGGACTAATTTACAGCCATGGCTGACCACCTCCATCCACCAACACGTTGTCGCACCGTTAACAGCCACGACGACCACCACCACTACCACCGCTGCGACAATCGCCACCACCGCCACACAAATCTCAAACAATAACACAATATCACCCAATTGGAAAACCACAATGTCAAACATAATAAAAAATGAAAACCCATTAAAGAAACCCCTTTGAATCTTTAGTAAATTTGAATCTCTTAACAAATGTGGTACGTATGAACAAAAGAATAAAGATAACTTTCTACTTAAATTGAAATTTAAATACAACAAACCAGTGTCAAATATATAGCTGATTTAAGCATTCTTAAATTCATATACACAATTTAAGAGCTATCACCCTCACTTTCGAATGTTCTTTCGACCTTTTGTTGGCAGTTAATGAATCTTGTATTATTAAGATGCTAAAAATGGTATTTCAAAAATGTTGTATGCCATTTCCCATGTCACAAGTATACATACGTTTGCACATTCAATTATTAGCTCATACTGCCCCAAATTCCTGTGTGCTCGTCGGGGATGGGAGCTTCGGCTCCCCCCTTCCTTTTCCTTCTCCCTCTGTTCTTTCCGTTTTGTCTGTGGTTCGCTCGTGGTTTGTCGACTGTTTTGGTGGGTGGCGTTTGGCTCCATTGTTGGTTTTTTTGGGACCCTCAGTCAGGGTCTTTTGTGTGGTGCCGCTTCGTTTTGTGTTGTGCTGACGGTCACCAGAGAGGTTCTTAGCTTGGTTGCACCTTGGGGTTAGTGCTGACCGTGAGTGGTGGACGAGGTATGGCTGGAGCCGTACGGCCAGTGGAGGTGGTTTCTGTGCGTGAGCCGGGTACTCGTGTCGCCCCGTTGTCGCGATGTCGTTGCCTGTCTGGGACGAGCAGTCGTGCCTCTTTGTCGTCGACTTATGTTCTGTTTTGTTATTGTGGTGTTTTATTTGTATTTTTCGTGTTTGGTTCTTGGACTATGAGTCCAAAGTTGAGACTCTAGCTTTTTAGAGTGCTCTCCCGCTTTTCGGAGAGGTTTAGAAGTTTAGACAATGTCTGTCGCTTTGTGTGCGGGGGTGCTCAAATGCAAATGCGTAGTTTGGCTTAGTCGGGTTTATCCTGTATTGTTAAGTTACAGTTGTAACTTCATTTTAGTGAATGAAGACCATTTCAAAAAAAAAAAAATGTTTTATGCATTTAGGGCGAATGTAGTAGGGGGCTGAGCTAGGCTATAGCCCAGCCGTACCCCGAGCCCATATGGAAAATAAAGAATAAACTATTCAATTTTGGCTCAAATATTTGTGTTAGCTGAGCTCTAGTTTTAATCCCAATCCAAACCCAATGCTCAATTATTCAATTTTTGTTAAACATATTACAATTATTAAATACTCTTTTAATGACATTCATGAAATGTAAATATCTTATTGTCAAATTAAGTATTTTATTTAATGCATGTTTGACTAAATTTATTTATACTAATTCAGTAAATTTTATAATAGATAATTTGTGTTGACCAAATCTAAAAATAAATTACTTATTTTAATAGTTAGAGACACTACATGTATTACTAAGCTCAAAAATAAATATTATTATTTTTATTCCTATATATGTTTTCATATATTACTTATCATATTTGTAAGAAAGAATTTACGAATTTTGATCATGAAATAAATGTTATGATCAAAATAAAAAACTTGCTCCAGATTGATCTTGCCAATAAAAAGAATATTTGTTAAAACTTATTTATTTATAAATTAATCTATATATAAGGATATTCTTGAAATTGAGCCAAACATGGATGTGAATTAAATATAATTTCTTTGGCTCCTTAAAATTTTTAATTGATTTTTCTCATTTTGGATGTAATTCCTCGCTCACTATGAAATGTAGTGATATAGAAGATTGATGTCCACACGAAATAGTATTTTAAGACAATAACATATAGTGATGTATTATTGATTGTGTATTTCGACAAAAGCTTTCAGTTGTCTGGAAAGGTCGATTGCAAATATTTAGAATGGTATTCATTAAATAGTTTCTTAGTTTTCCAATAGTGATATGATAATTTGCTTATTTCGATCATATTGCAGAGTGTTGCAGGTCTACTTCTGCCATACAGTAGATTAAAGGGAAAAAAATATATGTTAAGATCGAGAAATATCTCAACACCAGAAAAATTGTTCGTAATTCATAAAAAACTTCACCGGGAGCTTACTACTAATACTATGCATCAGAAACATGATTTACCCATACAATTGGAAGCCTAACCTTTAATGCCATCAGTAATCCCAAGTTGCACCAGTTCCTCTGCAAGAAAGAGAATAATTCAGGTATCAAGAGCATCTAACACTGAATTACAATTTTTTACAAGCTTTAAGCAACACATTTGTTCATTCATCAACTATCCAAATGACTTTCAATCAAAACAACGTGTAAGGGTTTTTTATCGACATTTGAGCACAAATCGCAAAAATCTTTCAAAAGCATGTATATACTAATTCCTTTCATATCCAGTCATCGGAGGTTAGTAAAGTTTCATAAATTTTATCTTTCTTCACAGTTTAGCCTTGATGTGTTAAATCGCTGCATAGATTGTACGGTTAAGCAACTCAAGTTGCATATATAAACAAAATAAGCTGCAATTGATGAAAACCCATGGAATGGCCTTCCAAATACTGCATGCAGGACCATAAGAAAAGCAAGCATGTAATTAATATATCCGTCTACGGCCTCTATCAATTGGATTTGACAATCCAAGTAATAGCACCAGTCTGATGTAGCATCAAAAGGTAAAGAGGTCAAACTATTCCGGAACAACTGAAAACCAGCAAAGACGAAGGGACAATAAACTTGGAAGATAATGTACTTCTCGGAATCTTAAAAAAAACCCCAAGTCGCACAATATGGAACACATTGATCACACTCTAACAAGCTTCTTCTCTTAGAACAGTTAGGAGTCAAACCATTTTCAATTTTATTCACATCAGAGTATATATTATGCTTTGGCAACAAATAAATTGGTAATAACCAAATATATATCCATATAGATAACAATTTGAGAGAGAATATATCGACATCCATTCACTTCTACATATACAAGAACAATGCACGATCAGTACTGGGTTATTTCAAATGCAGGTATTAAAATTACATCTCGATTACCAAAACCAACCTTGGATAATTTGCATTCCAGATTGAACTCTCTTTCTACACTCCTTAAAAAGTCCCTTTGGGAGGCTAAAAACAACCACCATAAGATCTACTAATGCATAGACTGCACTTTTTGGTAGCCATTCCCCATCAATGGGAGGGGGAGCCAACTCGAGTTTACACAAATCATAAGAACAGTGAATGCACAAATCATTGACATCTTCTTCAATGATGTAGAATGGAAGAACTTTTGAATTTGGATCCTTAAAGTAATACACCAAATTGGTCCGTTTCCAATCCTGTAATTCAGGAGTTGGCCATATTTGCCAAGTATTTGACGAATGTTCTCATGAAATGGACCTGAGTATGCATTTCCTGGGAATGCTTTCAGATTATGGGATGTATCCATTTCAAGAATTGGAATAATTTATTATTCTAATATTTCCAAAAAATTGAACAGTATATTTAGAAGAGAGAGAGAAAGAGAGAAACGAGTGTGATTAATGAATTTATTAAGATTCTGCTGAGATTAAATTTGGGAAAATACTAAGCATTATTGTTACACTCTTGAATTCTTGAGTTTTACCCTAATTGCAGTACGTGCCCTATGTCTTTGTTTTTTATTCGTCCAATTAGAACAAAGATATTTGGCGATGTTTGATTGCAATGAATTCCACGAAAAATGTCACGTCCGAGTAAAACGAAATCCACTTTGGTCGTTTGATTGCAAGGTGGAAATTGAAACCGAATTTCAAGGTACAATCATTTTAAACTGCATTTTCTTTGTTTTCATAGAAAACGAATTCATATGGATTTGGTGGGTTTTTATTTTCCAACTATCATGGAATTGGAATTCCTTTCCACATTTGTCTATCAAACGGACCCTTATAGTCCAACTAACGCCCACTCATTAATCTCGAGTTCATAAGCTTCACTTATTCTTGAGCTGAGATTTTATAGTAAGCGCAACAAATATAAATGATATTGATTTTATGGGTACTTCAATAGACCCTTCACATGACATTTTATGAGTATTTCATCTCGTTCTTCCTCCAATTGTTCTTGTCAGCATGTTCTAATATTAAAAATCTCAATATTACTTATGATAATTGATGAAGTTAGTGTGGACGAACAAAAACTTGTGTATTTGGAACTTTTGGATGGTCGGTGTTCGAAGAAAATGACGTAACTTTTGTATACAGTGTCCGTTTTGGGCCCATGACCCCATTCCGGAAAGCTCCTGACGATTCCCATACATCTATGCGAGGGTGGGGTAACACGCATCATGCATAAAAAGTCGTTGCTCATCGTTATCATTTTTAAAATCAAGGCAACTCGTGTGGCACCAATCTCTGCACCTGTCGTAGGACACCATTCTTTCCTGTCATCATCAGTTGCCTTGCACCTACACCTAACGATCGAAGGTTTCACTCCCTCTTCGTACCTTAGATTTGTATCCCAATTTAATCGACAACCTCTAACTCTAAGGTCTTATGACAAGAATGTTGTAGAAAGAACTTCATTATCATCAATAGAGTCTTTCTCCAGAATCTCGGTAACTATCATCCGTTCTATGATACAATATTTGTCATTCATTGCATTTTGGATAGCAACCTTTAGATCACCAACTGTATCAGAAACTGAAACCACAACATACTCCCCAGGTGAAAATTCATTAGGTAGAAAGTCTTCGTTTCGCTTAAAAACTAGGTCGCATAAATCCGTCTTTACACAGCATGGGAACCTTAGCAAATCGTCGACTTCATCCATGAACTCCCATTGTTTAACAAAATATTTGCTATTCAAAATAGTCTGAATTGAACTATTAACATTCTCTGATTTCGAAGAGCACGACATTAGAATTTTGTACAAATCGATCACATTATCGTACATGCTCTTTCCACACTCTAACAGTTCAAGATCATCCCGAATTTTACAATCTAGATCGTGAACATAGAACTCCAACAACTTAGTTGAGGGATTCACTAGGATTCACTACACGTTGAATAATTTGATTTCCAACAATCACATTATTCAGGATTTTGAGGACGTAGTCTATCATCCCCGTGTCACCAATATGGAGCCGAGCAGCATCTCATGCCTCTTGTCGAGTCATCCCGCTGCTACCTACCTTGTTTCTCGCTCTGTTTTTATTCAGAACTTCAATACTTATGTCTGCCACATTTTGAAGTTTATCAAATGTGTATATGCCATCTAATTCTGCTAAAATATCGTCAAACATTCGAGGAACAGGCACTTGTGTATTTGGAACATTTGGATAGTCGGTGTTCGATGAAAATGACGTAACTTTTGTATACAGTGTCTGTTTTAGGCCCATTACTCCATTCTTGAAAGCTCCCGACGATTCATATACATCTATGCGAGGGTGGCGTAACACGCATAAAAATTCGTTGTTCTTCGTTATCATTGTTAAAATCAAGGCAACTTGTGTGGCGCCAATCTCCGCACTTATCGCATGACACCATTCCTTCCCCGTCATCATTATTTGCCTCACACCTGCACCTAATGATCGAAGGCTTCACTCCCCCTTCGTACCTTAGTTTTGTATCCCAATTTAACCGACTGCCTCTGACCCTAAGGTCTTCTTACAAGAGTGTTGCAGAAAGAACTTCCTTATCATCAATAGTCTTTCTCGAGAATCTAAGTAACTATCATCCGTTCCATGATACAATATGTGTCATTCATTGTATTTTGGACAGCAACCTTTAGATCACCAACTATATCAGAAGCTGAAATTACAACATACTCCCCAAGCGAAAATTTATTAGGTGGAAAGTCTTCGCTTGGCTTAAGAACTAGGTCGCATAAATCTGGCTTTACACAACATAGAAACATTAGCGAATCGTCGACTTCATCCGGGAACTCCCATTGTTTAACAAAAAGTTTGCTATTCAAAATAGTCTGAATTGAACTATTAACATTCTCCAATTCCGAAGAGCGCGACATTAGAATTTTTTACAAATCGATCACGTTATCGTACATGCTCTTTCCACACTCTAACAGTTCAAGATCATCCCTAATTTCACAATCTAGATCGTGAATATAGAACTCCAACAACTTAGTTGAAGGATTCACTACACGTTGAACACTTTGATTTCCAACAATCACAGTATTCATGACTTTGACAACATAGTCTATCATCCTCGTGTCACCAATATGGAGCCGAGCAGTATCTCGTGCCTCCTGTCGAGTCATCCCACTGATACCCACCTTGTTTCTCACTCTATTTTTATTCAGAACTTCAATAATTATGTCTGCCACATTCTGAAGTTTATCAAATGTGTATCTGCCGTCTAATTCTGCCAAAACATCTTCAAACATTCAAGGAACAGGTACTTGTGTATTTGGAACATTTGGATGGTTGGCGTTCGAAGAAAATAGCGTAGCTTTTGTATACAGTGTCCATTTGGGGCCCATGACCCTATTTCGGAAAGCTCCCAACGGTTCCCATACATCTGTGCGGGGGTGGCGTAACACGCATCACACCTAAAAAGTCATTGCTCTTCATTGTCATTGTTAAAATCAAGGTAACTTGTGTGGCGCCAATCTCCGTACTTGTCGTAGGACACCATTCTTTCCCCGTCATCATCAGTTGCCCTACACCTGCGCCTAATAATCGAAGACTTCACTCTCACTTCGTACCTTAGTTTTGTATCCCAATTTAACCGGCTGCCTCTAATCATACGGTCTTCTGACAAGAGTGTTGTAGAAAGAACTTCCTTATCATCAATAGTCTTTCTCCAGAATCTTGGTAACTGCCATCCGTTCTATGATACAATACGTGTAATTCATTGCATTTTGGACAGTAACCTTTAGATCACCAACTGTACCAGAAGCCGAAACCACAACATACTCCCAAGGTGAAAATTCATCAGGTGGAAAGTCTTTGTTTGGCTTAAGAACTAGGTCGCATAAATCCAGCTTTACACGGCACAGGAACCTTAGTAAATCGTCGACTTCATCCTTGAGCTCCCATTGTTTAACAAAATGTTGGCTATTCAAAATAGTCTGAATTGAACCATTAATATTCTCTGATTCTGAAGAGCACGACATTAGAATTTTATACAAATCGACCACGTTATCGTACACGCTCTTTTCACACTCTAACAGTTCAAGATCATGCCGAATTTCCCAATCTAGATCGTGAACATAGAACTCCAACAACTTGGCTGAGGGATTCACTGCACGTTGAACAATTTCATTTTCAACAATCACATTATTCATGACTTTGAGGACGTAGTCTATCATCCCCGTGTCACCAATATGGAGCCGAGCAGCATCTCGTGCCTCATGTCGAGTCATCCCACTGCTACCCACCTTGTTTTTCGCTCTGTTTTTATTCAGAACTTCAATAATTATGTCTGCCACATTCTGAAGTTATCAAATGTGTATATGCCATCTAATTTTGCCAAAACATCGTCAAACATTCGAGGAACAGGCACTTGCATATTTGGAACGTTTGGATGGTCGACGTTCAACGAAAATGGCGTAACTTTTGTATACAGTGTTCGTTTTGGGCCCATGACTCCATTCCGGAAAGCTCTCGACGATTCCCATACATCTATGCGAGGATGGCGTAACATGCATCACGCATAAAAAGTTGTTGCTCTTCGTTATCATTGTTAAAATTAAGGCAACTTGTGTGGTGCCAATCTCCGCACCTGTCGCAGGACACCATTCTTTCCCCGTCATCATCAGTTGCCTCGCACCTGTACCTAAAGATCAAAGGTTTCACTCCCTCTTCATACCTTAGTTTTGTATCCCAATTTAATCGGCTGCCTCTGACCCAAGGTTTTCTGACAAGAGTGTTGTAGAAAGAACTTCCTTATCATCAATAGAGTCTTTCTCTAGAATCTCGATAACTATCATCCATTCACTGATACAATATGTGTCAGTCATTGCATTTTGGACAGCAACCTTTAGATCACCGACTGTTTTAGAAGCTGAAACCATAACATACTTCCCAGGTGAAAATTCAATAGGTGGAAAGTCTTCGTTTGGCTCAAGAACTAGGTCGCATAAATTCGGGTTTACACGGCATAGAAACCTTAGAGAATCGTCGACTTCATCTGTGAACTCCCATTGTTCAACCAAATGTTTGCTATTCAAAACAGCCTGAATTGAACATTAACATTCTCCGATTCCGAAGAGCAACACATTAGAATTTTGTACAAATCGATCACGTTATCGTACCACACTGTAACAGTTTAAGATCATCCCAAATTTCACAATTTAGATCGTGAACATAGAACTTCAACAACTTGGTTGAGGGATTCACTACACGTTGAACAATTTGATTGCCAACAACTACATTGGCGCCACAAATCTCTAATTGTCATCAATCCTTTCTT